CGCTATTTGGACTGTGTGTGTGTGTGTGTGTGTGTGTGTGTGTGTGTGTGTGTGTGTGTGTGTGTCTGAGCTGGCAGTTTTCCTTCACATGGGGTGATGCATAATTCAAAATGTGAGAAATGGTCAATCTGTAGCTCATCTGGTGGGCTGGCATTTCACACATCATGGAGGAAAAACTTCTTAAGTTGGTTTTCAGTCTTTTCTTTTATTCTCTCTTTCTTCTTTTGTCTTTTATTTGTCTCTGTGTTCTTGTGGTCTGAACTGGTGAGGTGCGTTGACTCATTTTAAAACCTAGTGAGAAGCATCTAGTCCTTTGGTCTATATAGGCAAATTTTAAAGGGGTCATATGATTTCAAGTTTTCCTTTCTATTTGGAGTGTTACAAGCTCTTTGTGAATAGATAAGATCCCTAAAATTGCAAAGACTAAAGTCTCAAGCCCAAAGAGATATTCTTTATAAAAGGTCCAGAACAGTTCAAACCAAATATTCAGATGTGTGCAGCTCATTTTATGGAGGACTGCTTCCTGAACCTGGGAGAGTAGCCTACAATGGGTCTGTGCACAAAAGCTGTTTCTATAAAGTGGAGCAGTTCCAACTTTGCAAGGACAGCCTGGCGCTTCTGACTCACAGCCTGTAATACACAACATAATGTTCTTTTTAGCAACGTCATATGACCCCTTTAATAATTAAAAACTGTGTCTAAATAGATCCATTGTATTTAATAATTAACTAATTTTACAAATTGCAATCATTTATTATTATTATTATTATTGTATAATTAGAAATTATACAGCTTTCACGACTCATTTCAAAACCTAGTCGCCTCATGTGCTTCTGTCTATATAGACAAATGTTATAATACTATATAAATTATAATATTAAAATATTTAATTGTATACATTTATGAATTTTATATTACTATAAAAACAAATTTGCACTCTTATTTGTCTAGTAACTTGATTATAGTATTGCAAAATAATAGTAGTAGTAATATTATTATTATTTTATTAATATTTTATTTATTTTTACATATTACACACATTTATACATTTTAACAAAACTCTTACTTTTAGTAATTTAATTTTACATTTTAAACATTATTGCAAAATATCAATAATAAAATAATAATAGTCATCATCATCTTTGTAATACATGAAAATAAACTGGTAATAATATAATAACTTATTGGCTGTTTTTTTAACTTATGTCAATCTCTTTTTATTATTATTATTGTTACATAAACTCAAACTTTTACAGCTTAGAAGGCAACATAATTAAGTTGTTTTGAAATTATGGACCAGCTTTTGTGTCTGTTATGCCTTAAAACACTGACTCTGTAGGCAGCTCTCTATCTTTAGAGCAATTCTCTCATAGATTAGCATCACATCTTGTGTCTTGTTCAGATGTATGTTGTTCGATTGTTGCTGGCTGAGAATGACTGAGCATTCCCAGCATGACTCAAGACTGTGAGTGGTTGTGAGGGGAAATGCTTTGGCTCCATTTGAGAGCATCAGGATGGGAGATGCAAAAAAAGGCCAGCGAGTCGGTTCCTTGCTATGGGGTCTTTGCGGTCAGGGCAGGTCTCTGCTGAAAGGCGGAGGGGGCAGATGAAGGATTGGCCTGGTGGTGCTCACATTGAGCTCATTAGGGCCAGGGCTGTATCAGGCTACCTGCCAGCAGCTCCATCACACTCGCGCACACAGACTGACCGGCAGGCCTCCCTCAGGATCCGTGTCAGTAACACAGAGCCGGTCCCTCCTGTTCCTGTGCTGGAGGACCGGAGTGCCCACATCACGCAACGCTCAGAGCTGTAGCCTCATGTCAACTTTTGTTCCTGCATCGTGAGCTATAGCCAGATTTGGCTCAGCATGAAAACAGAGATGGGGAAATGACTCATTATTTCACACTCGTTTTGGATCAACTCCTGTTTTATATGGATACGAACGTTTATATGGACTCAACTTGCCCAGGGGTCAATGAAGTGACATACATTTTTTTTTTTTTTTTTACATTTGAATCCTTTAAATTATTGAAAAAGAAAAGTTTCTCACACAAACTTCTTCCTTTGAAACTGTATTTTGCTAAAGATGCACACTTATTAACATGAGTTTAAGCACTTGTTTACAATTTTACTAAAAAGTCACCAACTAAGCTACTCATAGGGTCAACATTAAATTTCAGAAATTATTATAGAATTATTATAGAAATTATTTTCATTTATTAGCAAAAAAGAATAAGGTTTCCAGGTTTTTGGATTTTGGATCAGCAAAAACTTACATTCTCAGTATTTTTGATGACTTTGCACTGATAAAAGACAACACAATATGATAACAATATAATAACACATTTACTGAATCAAAATATCGAGCTATTTCTAAATGTATTATATTATATTATATTATATTATATATTTTAACCAGTGTATTACTGTATATTATCAAAATGAAGGTTATTGCTGGTTTTCAATAACGATAAACAGTGATATCAAGTTACTATTTGTTTGCACAAAAAGCATAAGGAGCAATAATATTGTCTAAAACCACACTATGAAACTTATAGGGGTATCCAAACTAGAGAACCAGAGAAGTGTACATGTACATGAAATACCAAGAAAACTAAAAAGGTTTTTATTATTTCTAATCATCTGTACTTACTACATTCAAAATAAATGCAAATATTTGTAACGATTTGCGTTGTAACGTTTTTTAGTCAGTATTTTATTCCTTTGTGGGAAAAATTGCAGACCAATTATATATAATTTAATATATCATTAAAGGGGTGGTTGATTGCGATTTCACTTTTTTAACGTTAGTTAGTGTGTAATGTTGCTGTTTGAGCATAAACAATATCTGCAAAGTTACGAAGCTGAAAGTTCAA